TTGGTCCACCACATTTAAGGGAGGAAGTGGCAAGGTAAACCCCTTCTCCTATTCCTTTTCTTCCTCCACCTATGGTCCACCAAATTTCTGAACTGCGCCCCTACATTATGCTGTTAAAGTTACACCAGACGTGGGGTGTTGGGCAGTGGCATGCTATGGGTAAGAGGGTCGTTGCCTGGCTGAGCGCTTCAGTGTGCAGTGCACTATTCTTTGAGTACATGGGATAGGTAGGGGATTGTTCATTGGTCCCCACTGATGGATGAAGCTGGAATTAAAAAGGAAAAAGAGATTGTTCGATGGACTCATTCGATGTTTGTTACATGAAAACGTATCTGTAAAACTTTTGATGATCGGTTCTTTGGAAGATTCTGAAGGACAAGGACAGGAGGAATGAAACGAGGAAACAGGCTACGGAACTTAGAATGCCAGGTTTCCAAAGGGAAAGGAAATGAATCATGGCGTACAAGGCCCTGAGTATGGGCGAGCCCTCGGCAGCAGCTAGCGGTCTGACAAGTATTCAGTGGTGTTTGTGCACACTCTGCCATTGTACCTGCCATGAACACCCCCTGTGGGCGAAGCATGAGTGGAGATGGTGGCGAAAAGAGCTGTTGTGTATGTGTGTGTGTGTGTGTGCGCGTGTGCGTGTGCGTGTGTGTGTGTGTGTAAATGTGTATAGTCTGACAATGCTCAGTGGTGTTTGTGCACACTCTGCCATTCTACCCTATCCACTGTGGGTTGTGTGTGTGTGTGTGTGTGTGACAAATATTGAGTGGCGTTTGTGCACGCTCTGCCATTTTACCTGCCATGAACACCCCCCAATGGAGCTCGTAATGTGACTGGTGTTTGTAATGAACCCAGTCTGGAAGAAAACTCGTCAGTGTCGAAATACAAGAAATCTCAGCGCTCGTCAATGTCTCCGATAACCATGAAATGTGATCCGAAGTACAATGTCTCGTAACCAAAGGACGAAGCTGATAGGAGGGAGATAAGACTTAGAGGGTGGAAGAGCAAGTATCCATCAATGTCATCGTAGATAGATCTCCCTCATACCTCACTCCTCCTTCGGGCTTCTCCCCTCTTCCACGTCAGCAAACAGTATCCCAGAAACGAGTCTGACAAGATCCGATCACAACATAGTGCCACGTAGGCACAAATCTCCTATGAAGACGTCACAGCAGCGTGCAATGTCGACAACATCAATCAGGTAAGTTTCCCCCTCTCTCTGACAACCAATCTCACAGCCCTGATCTCCCTCCTCGTCGATACCCCAATCTGTGTCGAAAACAGCGTAGTAAACGCCACGTCAGCAATCAAGTATACAGCTGGCGGCAAGAGCAGAGAGGCGCCAGCACGCAATGCAGCAGTCTCGCGTCGTCATCACACACAATGCCAGCGTAGTGCCAGCGTCAAGCCAGGGTCTAGCCAGCGTCCAGCCAGCGTCGAGCAGCAAGTGCAAGACTGAATGTCGACAAACAGGGGCTGGGTCAATAAGTAGTGTTGATGTAGTTGACCAGCCTCTGGTCTCCCAAGTACGAAGGCTCAGATCGACTCACAGCCGATGGCCTGGATCGCATACAGTTGCAGACCTCCACTTGGACCAGATTCTGCCTGGATACCTGCGTACAGCCAAATGTGTGTGTCTGATTGGTGGCCTGGATTGGGTCTGTGCAGACTTTGACTCGTGAGCCTCAATATTCCAAGGTACAGTTTACTTTGGTCAACTGTCGGGTGGAGGGTCTCTGAAACCACGTTTCAAGGCCTTGTTTCGCAAAGAGGGCCTTGCTACGGCCTGTGGGCGGCCCCTGGCCGACGACAATAACATATTTGGAGTGGGTTATTGCATTCCTATCGGCCCAATTTTCGAGTTCCATCGCATAAATTTAAACTTAGGCTAGATTCCCTTCAATCCGCGCTCATATGCAAAAGTAATATCGGGGGCAGTAGATAAAAGTTCTTACTTGCTAAACCATTGGGCTTCAGACAGGGGTTGAGATTTGAACTTCACCTTGAACTGCTTTTGTGGCCTTCCTCTGCCACCTGTAGAAAAGTATCCATGTTCCAATATCTTCTCAACTTCATATCCTCCATTCATAGAGGGAGGAAACATGGATGGCCGGTTAGGAAAATCGTGGCCTTCTACATACTGCAGTAACTTGGAGGCGTGAAAGACAAAATATGTCTTGAGGTGTGGGGTTACATCTAATTCTTTATGAAGGTCCATCAGTGTCCCCGATCACCTCGAGAACTTCCCAAGGTCCACAATAGACAAGTAGCAAATGAATCATTTGTGCCAACAAATATTGTGAATGTATGTATGGCCAGATCAAATAGATTGGGATGAGAACTTGCCTAAGATTGCAAGTGCGTACAAATTAAATAGAGATAAAGTAGAATACAAGATAAAAGATTCACACCGTCACCGGCCAAACACTGAACGCACTTGACAAAGGATCAAAGTCGCGACGTCCCATTGATGCTTTGACACAGGACCGAGTCCAACGGCTACCCCCAGGGACACGAGAATTTGCAGTTTTGTATGAAGAAGACATAAAGAAAGTGAACGAAAATATTTTGAAAGCCCAACTACAAATGATTGAACAAGCTAACAAACGTTGTCATCCATCACAATTTGAAGGAGGAGATCTTGTTTGGGTCAAGTCTAAAAAATTTTCCCTATAAAAAAATGTGTCAAGCAAACATAGCATATTTAGATAATCGATCCACAATGACCATTACCTGGCTATTGCGATTCCGACTCTTGGAGAGACTCATAAATCAATCGAGATGGACTCACTTGACTCACTTGGAATAGGTAGTGGTCACAACAGTCCCAATGGATTCTCATGCGAGGGCTTGTTCTTTGGCAAACAAGACAAGCTCGCACATATGTTAACACATCCTCGTTCATTCATTCAAAGCGTTCTCTTACATCAGCATACGTCTTCTTAAATCCGAAGTGTTTTTTAGTGTCATGACATTCTCCAATAATCATACTTTTAATATGTTCTTTATGTAGAATTAAAAGTCTTTCTTCGGTTCTGTTAATAAAGAAGAGTAAGCGGTCAGACATTTGATATTCAGGCAAGAGTTCAGGGTTCCTTTGTAGGGTTCCAATGATATGACTCCAAATGGGATCATTTGCATAACCCTTACAAATTTGATTTTTTAACGCGTTCCCAATGTCAAGATCTACGTAGCACTGTGTTCGCGTTCGGAGGCAAACGCGAACATGTTCGCCCGAACACGAACAAGGGCCCAAAACCCTCCGAACGCGAACATAAAAAAAAAAAAAAAATGGTTCTCAAAAAAATCGGACAAAAATATATAATACAAGCAACTTTTGCCTTGGAGTCATGTTCAAATTCGTAGCCAATCATGAGTTCAAAATAAAAAATCGATATATATATATATATATATCGTCACAAACAGAACTGCCCGGTAAACCGTAGGCAGGGAGAGAGAAGAGGACAACAAACGAGGGGCTGTGACATCGGAGTTTCACCGACTTATCAGGAGGCTGAACCCTATATACGAGAAAAAAAAATTGCCGAACATGTTCGCGAGCTGTTTGCGCGAATGCGCGAACACGTTCGCCAGGCTACACAGGTCAAGATATGAAACAATAGTTTCAAATGAGATCATCTGAATAACCCCTACATATTTGATCTTTTAACTCGTTCCCAATGTCAAGATAGGAGACAATAGTTCCAAAGAAATCAAATCGTGTGGACAAAGCATCTGCAACAACATTAAACTTTTTCCTTCAATAGTTTTCAACTCAAAGTCAAACGTATCAACGAATGCAGATCATCTAACTAACTTGTGGGAGAATCGTGGTTAAGTCTTTATCCACGTCATAGTTAAGTGGTCTGAGTAAACAATGCAGTGTTTCCCGAGCAAGTAATGCTTCCATGTGTCCAGTGCTGCAACTAAGGCATACAATTCCCTTTCGTGCGTGGAGTTGACCACCTTGTCAGACGGAAGACATTTGGACATAAACCCAATGGGTCTATATCCCTTGTCGTCATCTTGTTGTACCACAACCCCAATCCAATATTGACTAGCATCAGTAGTAATGATGAAAGGGAGAGAAGGATCAACAAGATAGTGAGTTAGCACATGTTTCAACTTCTTAAAATGCAGACTCACAATCTTTGTCTCATAACCAATGTTTTTTTTTTCTTTAACAATCTTATCATAGACACAACTATCAGTGAGAAGTTCCTAACAAACTTCCTGTAGTAATTAGCAAGTCCTATAGAAGATTTCAATTTAGTGACAGTCTTAGGTTTGGGCCGATTCCAAATTGATGTTATCTTTCTTCTCTTCAAACCTTAATCCTTCTTCGTTCAGTATTTGTCCAAGGTATAATACCTTAGATTTAGCAAACTCAAATTTCTTAGGGTTCAGTTTATAGTTGCCCTCTCGCAACTTCTGTAGAACCATTCGCTCATGTTCCTCAAGTGTCTTAGTATACACGAGGATGTCATCGAGATACACTGCTACGAATTGATCCAACCATTGACGAAATAACTTAATTCATAGACCTTTGAAAAGTAGCAGGTGCATCAGTCAATCCGAAAGGCATAACCGTAAATTCGTAGTGTCCATACCTGGTTCGGAAAACAGTCTTGTGTTGATCTTCATGTGCCACCTCGATCTGGTGGTATCCTGACGTCAGATCAATCTTAGTGAAATACTTACATCCCCGAAGAGCATAAGGAGAGGAACTTGGGTTGAATCCATCCTTTTTCAGTAAGCTCTTGCAGTTGTTTCTTCAGTTCTTCTAATTCCCTAGGAGACATTGGGTA